GAAAGCTCCAAACCCCAAACCGAAAAGCCCTAAAACCCTAAAAGCACTAAGCCCTAAAACGGGGTTTAGGGTTTAGGGTTTAGGGATTTAGGGGTTTCGGGGTTTAGGGTTTAGGGTTTAGGGTGCCCAAAACCCACTTTTTTGTAGGTTCTTATAATAAACCCTCATATGGGATATATAGGGACCCTCAAAAAAAAGTAGGTTTTGGGTTCTTAAGGTACTTGAACAATATGGCACGAGATGGCACCTGGTCTTCGAAATACAGAGGCTTCTGCCAAAATCATTGGTTCCAACCTGCAACCTTGAAGACCAGAACTGCCAAGGTTTTGGGCAGAGTCTCTGGTTTTGAGGCCTTTGGACCCTTAGGGCAATCTTAAACCCTAAACCCTAACTGGCGCTTGTCCGAGTTGTGAGAGTGTAGACCCTAACGGACAGCAAGTTGCAGAAGCTTCACGGCTAACCCCAGAGAAAGACTTCTGAGAGGCCCAGACGGACAAAGCCACGGAGATGAGCCGCCGGTCCGTTCAGAGCTTTCTTTCATTCTCTGGGACCAAGAAGCCCTGAACCTGAATCCGGCTAGGTTTTATACGGTTTCTGGGTTGAGGGACTTCAGATCTTGGACTTGTCGGTTGCTTTGAGTTTTCTTCAGATTCAGCCTGCCTGGCCTTTGATTTTAGCCTCCAAGCTTTGCAGTAGCCCTTTGCCTTGGGATGCTCCACAGACTGCCGGGATTGAGGACTTTTAGGATTTCGGTGTTCATGATGAAGGCAAACTCAGAATCAACACCAACAAAAAAGTTCTCCCGACTCCGAGCCCGACCGCCGAAAGCATGCCCAAAAACATACTAGCCCAGAGACACAAGTTGTTTTAGCATGCCACTAAGCTGTTTAGGGCTCAGGGCAATGCATGCGGCATCCTCAAACGCGTCTTTGACCCTTGACCAGAGGCATTGGATTATGTTGCAGAAGGGTCTCTTGCTGATGAAGGATCAAGGAGCGTAGCTGGTAGCTGGACCCTACTCTGTAAACGTCTTAGAGCACCCGCATAAGGAAATCCGAATAAGCAACCCGAAGAAAGGCGTTACTTAGGGTTCAGGTAGGTCATGGCAATGCCTTAAGTTGGACTGCCCGACTTTAGATTCTGGTGCTGCTTCTATCCTACATACGCACTAGAGCCCACGATCCCCTGCACGGCATCCCTCCAGAATATTCAAACCCCCAAGATGTCGGCCCCCTGGAAAAATCCTGATTGCCCTCAACCAAGACAAGACGTATCAAACCCATGTAGGAGCCCCGTTATCGCTCCTTCACACTTGAGAGCTGTTGAGCCCTACTTCCCATTCCCAAACTCTTAAACCGTAAGTCCTTATTCTGCCCACTTGGCACGCGCCAAGCCACCTTGGACACTAAGCCGTACGTTTTCATCTAAACCGTGAGCCCTAGACAGTCCAGGGAGCCAACTCCGCAGAGCCTTTCTCAACCTGGCATATCCTCAGCCATAGACCCAAGTTCTTAACCCTGAAAACAATACTTCCTAAACCCGAAACCGCCTAAGCTACAGAAGCCACTAAACTCTAAACCCAAACACGAATTATTAAGGAGCCATTGATGTGATCTCCGGGCCCGCTTATTGCGGAAAGAAGAAGTCACTGCTCCCGGAGCGCCAGGCACTGAGGAACAAGCCTATAAGGCTGAGTGTAGTCTTGTTGTTGTGGTTTTCTTTGTGTCTTGCCTTTTTGGTGAGACTCAATTGTTATGATGTACCCAAGTAGCTTACTATTGTGTTTTTTTGTGCAGGTTGTTTTGGAGGCTCCTCGGGCCTATAGTTTCTTAGGCAATGGCGTCTGTTATCACATCGATGCATGCCCTGCGTGTCCTCCGTGCACGGTTGATTCGACCGATGCTTCTTAGCAGCTTGGGGCTTGGGTTTCAGGGGGTTCCAGGAAAGTTTGAGGCTGCACCACCTTATGGCTTGGGGTGTATGCCTGTCTATTGTCAAGGTTCTAAGTTTGGTTTGTAGCGATGGTACTGATGACCATGGTCATGGTTGTGATGCTCTGACGACGGGGTTCATGATGTTGCTAGTGCTGATTGCCACGATGATGGGCAGCCTGGTGCGATTGCCCCGGTGATGGGAAAAGCCTGTTTGGATTCTTAAATTTTCGGCATGGCTATCTTTATGTTTTGGATGCACAGTTACAGGTAGCATAAAGCATTGGTGGCAGCTCATTCCTTGAGCAGCTTCCTTCACGAAAGTCTCATTCTGACTTGTCTAGCAGCTCGCGGCTCCACCCAATCAGCCCGCAAATCTCGGCCATCTCAACTTCTCAGCTGTAATCCCCAGAAACTTCCCACAGTAGCACCCGTAGTTCCCAGGACTAAAGCCCCCTCCACAGCCCAAAATTGTCTCGGCACCGAACTCCTAGAGGAAACCTGCCAGCCCTAAGCCCCGATCTCGGCCGCCATGAAGCGGAGCTGCGATGCCGGAGACTGGGAGGAGGTGCGGCTGCCAGTCTCCACGATGCTGTACAGCCAGGCAGGGAACGGGATGCTCCCTGTCAACACATATCCCACGACGATGGATCAGGGAAAGGAAGGGACAATCAAAGAGACAGCCAAAGTTTATAATGTAGGCAGGCATGATTTTAAACGGGGTTACGCCTCTGAAAGAGATGAAGAGGCGTGGCCCGTTTGCGATGATTCCGCGGATGACGACGAGCAGGACTTTCACCTCAGCGCGGCCTCCGTCCGCCGATCTTCTCTAGCGATGGAGGTCGTGGGGAGGGGACCGGGTCTGAACCCTTAGGGTCCTTAGGGGTTTAGGGGTTAGGGGTTTAGGGGTTCATGGTGTAATTAGGGGTTTAGGGTTTGGGGCTTAGGGGTTTACGGTTCAGGGGGTTTGGGTTTAGGGTTCTTGGGGTTAGGGTTTAGGGTTTGGGGTTTTGGGTTTAGGCTAGGGTTCACCGTCAGAACGTGGGTCAGAATCGGGAATCCCAAGCTAACCATCTCAGCCGCTGTTTTTTTCTGTTTTTTCCATTCAGGAAGACCAGAAAACCGGCCGGGTCGTGCAGAGCAAGCTGGACAAGTCGTTGAGACTTCTGAAGGCTCCTCTGGGTCCTTGTTGGATACAATTTTATCATTTTTGTTATAATGAAACCCTAATAAGGATGAAAAATGATCATGTTTAATTATGGCCCCAACAGGGAACCAGTCCTGCTCGTTGTCATGGACGAGTAGCATTTTGCACTCTTTAGGGGTGCCTAAACCCAATAGTTTGCACGTTTCATGCTATCCCTGCCATGAACTATAAGTGCCAGTAGGGCTTTCCGTGAGAAATCCTAATGCTATCCTGGAGGGATTTTATCCCTGAAGGGCCGTCTAATTTTTCAGCTGTGAGGAGGAAGATTCACAGAGTCACCTGCACAACCAACTATTGCAGGATCTAAGATAGGATCCCATAATCTACGTGTTGAGAGGGAGTGAATTAAGCAAGGTCATCTCCAGCCCACAAAACCTACCTTTTAGGGTTCCTTATTACGGTTTTTGTATACTTCTGAAACGGTGCCTTCTTTGGGGCTACAGGGATGTTATCGTGCAGAGATAATGTCAGGCTGAGTCAGAGAAGAACCGTTCGGAGCTCCTGGGCGCTGCAGCTTCTCGTGGTTTGGATGGCGTGCTCCTCGGCCCTTGACTAAAACCATAGGCCCATAGACGGCCTGAGGATTCAAGAATCAATAATGTCATTCGTTTGAGTTCCTTTTCGGTTTCTTCTAAAGCGCACCTCAAAGCCCGGTTCCAATTGTAACAGCCCCCATAGTAGGCTTTTTCAGCTCCTTTCCAGCTAATGCGGCTGCATTGTGTCTGTAGGCGTTTCATATGAACGGAGACTTTCAACCCAGGCTTTTCCCAGGCGGCGCGCTCACACTGCTGGCTCCGCGCCTGGCGGTGGTGGATGATGACAAACAGGACGGTGTCATGCAGCAGCTCATCTCGGACATGTTCACGAAGATGAGCTTGAAAGCCTGAGGCTATTCTGCCCTTGACGCAGGGATGGAAGAGCTTTTGCGTCTTGAGATTGTGAAGGCAGCTATCGCGCCCTGTTGACATGTTTGCTCTGTCTCTTCATCCGCCCTCTCACCAACATCTTTCAGTCCAGACTCAGATAAATGTTCTGACCACATTACTCTTCAAACTCTGTCTTAGCGATGTTGGCGTCTTCGGGAAACCCTGTCGTCCACGGATCGGGGCCGTGGGCGCCGTGTGGTTCTCATAGCACCTGGGGGCCTCGATTGACAGGGTGTCGAGTGTAGGACGAGGACGCGATGAGGAATGCAGAAGACGAATTTAAGAGAGGGTAGGAATAGTCAGTACGAAATATCAAGCAAGGTGACAGCTAGTGCACCGTCCGTGTGTCCGTCTGCCATCTGTCTGCATGCATGCATGTCTGCAAGCATGTGTGTATGTATGTATGATGGCATGTGCGCATGTGAGGATGTATATGTGTGTGTGTGTGTGTACGTGTCATATATTTGCATATATGCATTTCTATATGCATATGCGTACATATATACATATGCACAGACACAGACATGCATACTTATGCACAATTGCAGGTGCATGAGTGTGTGCGTGTGTATGTGTAAATGGTTGTAAATGTCATAATGTACAGTCTTGTAAATGTACGTGTGCAGGTTTATTTATGTATGGATACCTATCAACTGCGATTATGTTAAATGTATTTACGCATGGACCCCTCTCTGTCTGTCAGATATGTATGTATGTATGTATGTATGTATGTACGTATGTATGTATGTATGTCTGTATGTCTGTATGTCTGTATGTATGTATGTATGTATGTATGTATGTATGTTTTTCTATATATGTATATAATATACATATATATATACAGATATATATATATATATACGTGTGTTTATTTATACACATGCATGTCATCTTTTGCTGTACAGATGTATATGTTGTAGGAGCAGCTACACATATGCAATATTCTTCGAGGCCCCAGCTATGAGATGGAAACCCATCAAGCAGGAGACTGTGCGATGCAAGCGCCAGACGAAAAAATGTGGTGCCTAATGCTTGCAGGTATAGTGAGTGGTTGTTAAGGGGTGTGAGACTACGGGTGCGGAGTAAACGGGGGGACCCCAGGCTGAGCTGTCATTTTTTTACCATGTCCTGTTTGGGGTGGGTTCCCGCTGCGGAATGGTTCCGGACATTCGAGTGCCCTGCCTTCTTGTGCCTCGTAAGCAAAGCACCTAATTTCAGTTATTCGGGCTCCCTCGATAATGTTTCGGGTAATAATTGATGCTTCCGAAAACCATCAAGGCTGTAGGCAGTACGAAGAGCTCCAGCGGGGGGCCGAGGCGCACCTGACCTGCCAAAGTTGCAGGCAGTGGCCGACGGATACGCATCACGGCTTGTGGATGTGTTGTAAAGTTACATCATGTGTATTTATACATACATATGTATATATATATAGATATATAGAGAGAGAGTGATAATTATATATATATATATGTACTTCTGTGTAGATGTATACATACATGCATGCATGCAACGATACATGTGTATATATATATACACATCATATATATATATATATGCATCATATATATATATACATACATACATACATACATCAGTACATAGATAGATAGAGAGACAGATCGGCGAGCTTTCAGAATCTTTGTGGTGAGTGTCTGGTTCTTGCATTGCATAGACTACCGCATCATGACTGATTCCGCTGCAAGGTATGCCCAACAAGGCCTATACCCCCGGAAAGCACGCCAAGGAGGGTCACCAAATCTGCGGCCTAAGCCCCACAACCCAAAACGCTCAAGCCTATCTGGTCCTGCAGCCCTGCAAACTGTTTACCTTACCTTGAGCTGCAGGTCTGCAAAAGCCCAAGCTCAGCCTTGTGTAGATTCGATCCTTGACCCTGAACCCTTTGAATCCTAACCTAATATAAATCTACCCAAGCCCCAAGTCCTAAAACACGAATGCCCAGCTTTCGATCTCTGCTTGAATAGAGACATGAAAACAGCAACAAAAAGAATGCCACAGCCTTTAAGCTCTACAGCCGGCCCAAATCAACAGATTCAAACATCACGTAACTGAGGAGGGTCCCAAAGTTTATGTGTATGAGCTACCGGAGCGCTTCCGGAACGGTGGAAAGGACGCGGGCGCTGGTAGCACTGTGTTTTTTCCTTACGGCATGCGGGCGTAGGCGTTTGCCAAGGTTCATGTGTTGCTGCAGTATGTTGCGCAAGGAGTTCTTAATTTACGTAGCCTAGAGGCTCACTTGGCGGATCAGGGGGCTAGTTAGCACTGTAGCTTGCAAGTAAGTGCAGTAACCCCACCTAGCGCACTTGTAATCACACTTGCAGCCTGCCTGCTCGGTCCCTTTCTTGTCTCCAGTCAAAGGTTACATACCCTATCAATATAAGGAAGCATATCCCACTGGTGTGTAGGGTTTGGTTTGTACAGGTAGTGACTCCTGCTTAAAGGCTTACTGGTCAAAGCCCTGTCATGGGGCGTGGAGTTTCAAGAACTGTGTGTCGGCGATGGGTAGAGTATAGGCCGGGCCTCTCGGCATCCGTCATGATGGCCACCATGGCCAGACAAGCGACATAACTGGAACTTTATAGGCTCGCGCCCACGCAGGACCCGACCTGTTTCACTGCTGACTGCGTCTTCGGCGGTCCACCCATGATGGCTTCCGGGCACAGAATGCAGAATTGACATGCATGGCTGGTGTGTTGCGCACGAAGTTCAATGGCATTGCTGGCAAAAAGCTTCAACAGCTCAGAAAATCCCGCAGAAGACAAAAACTACAGGCAAGATGAGTGGGCTTGAAACTACTGAGAATTGAGGAACTGGTGACACTATCACTACTAAAGCTACCAGACACTACTCACATGCTAATTTAAGCAACTGACTCAAGCCTTCAGCCTTGGAGACCCCCTAGGCTTCGACGTAGCGAGCTGCACTGAGCTCCAACCTGAGACCCACAACAGACACTCCATGCACTGGGTCTTCTTACATGAGTGAATCAGGCTGTAGGACTCATCTAAGCCAAGGAGGCCCTGCAGACCACCCATGGAACTCCCCGAAGGTCCGTCGATGACATCGTCACCGAGGTGTAAGATGAGTAGTCCTTGACCATCATCATCATCTCGGAGCCCTGCCTCTCTAAACTTTGCACGCTAATGTACGAGCCTGGTTAAGAAACCCCGGCCCCTATAACCCCAAAGTATTAGGATTCATATTAGGAGCCCTAGAATAAAGACCCACGGTGTCTCAATCAGGTTCCCATATTAGCTAGCAAAGTTGAGCCACTCATCTTCAAACCCTGAGAGCCCCAGATTCCGAAGCCCCCAACTACTCCCCCCGCTCCTCCCGAGGTGCAAGGGGTGGAGATTTGGTCCTCCAACCAGCGGCTCGCACTCTCTAGTTTTGGGGTAACTTGAGGGCTCAGGGTCCCGAAAAATGCGGCTTCAAGGAATGTGAAGGTAGGGATGTTGGACGGACAATGACCTAAGGAAATGCCAGATATCTTTCTCTGTAGGTACCGTGGTCACTCTAGATAGACAGAGGTGTAGCAATTAGGAGTGCTGCTGCGGTGATGATGATGATGATGAGAAGGAATTGAGCTGGAGGTTGCAATTCAGGCGTCGCATGCCTGGTCTCTATGCCCCTTTACCGTCTTAAGACCATGAGCCCTCAAGCCTACAAGTCCGATTTTGTCTGGGCCGGGTCTTCTTCGCCGTTGGCTTTGAGACCTCCTTCAAGATCATGCAACCGGGTGGCAGGGTTAAAAGGGGGAGCATCAGAGGATCTGGCGTGCTTGGAAGGGTTTAGTGGGTAGCAGTTCTTGTTTGGTCCACCGTATTTGGGGTTTAGGGCGCTTCAGAGATGAGCAAGACATCAACCCGACAATACGCAAAGAATCATACCGGGCTTCAGAACTAGGCTCGTTTTTGAAAACTGAGGCTTTCAACCGTCTCCCTTGGTCGCTCAGCTCAGGTTTCACATGCCTCGAATGGTCTACTACCGTGCCCTGGCTCCTGCTAAGTTTGGAACGCCCAGAACTCGACTCAGTCCTGCGATAACACGAAGCCCATGACAATGAGGATTCCTCACGTCGTCGCGGCGGACCCGGGACATCAACGAGGCTGAGGTCTTTTTGGCTTCTCACCTTCACTCAGAGGATCAGACGGCAAGTTCTATGATGGTTTTCGAAAAGGGCGGGGTGTAGGGTTTTGAACTGTTTTGGACCTCTTCAAGAAACCCCTATGTCAAAGTCCCTCATGACCGAATGTGGTAATTTACATGTTAAGAGCTCATCGAAAGCTCTCAGAAGGTTCTTCAGAAGGTGTGAAACTAATCATTGAAGTCAACCGTGTCGGACAAGCGCAGGATCCCTATCATTGTAAGTGCGGCACCGCTACTGTACCGTGGGAAAAACACTAAAAACGGTGTAGGCTTAATGTAAGGCAGAACACCAAGCCAGAAAACATGAGGTGCCTGCATACAGCTCCACGCCGAGTATCTTGTCTGAAGTGAGTTGCAGGTAGACATTTGAAGGGTCAGGGGACCTAGTAACTGGCATTTTACATATATAGCTTTGTAGAACGCCCTGCTTGTAGCCACCCTAATCCTTTAAGTAGGTCTGAATATGAGAGTTCGACTCTTAACCCTCGGGCATTGTCCCGGCTTAGATGCAAGAAAGCTCATATATAGACCGTGGTGATGAAGACTGGTGAAGCTTGTGGAGTGTTTTTGTCTGAGGTCTGAGGCTTTCGCCCAAGTCTTAAAGTATTGGGTTCAAAGTTCAAGGTTTGGGGCCGGGTTTGAGGTTCAGGAGCCTGGGGCGGTTTCGGTACCTTCCATTGTGAGAGACTGCATCGGACTCCGAGACAACGCCCTGGTCCACCAGCTTCCTACGGTTCTGTGGGTCTCAGGCGCAAAGTAGGATCTGAACATTCGACTTAAGGGCAAAAGCAGTA